TCTCCCACAGTGCCAGGGAAACCCTGGAGCTGTGCCACCTCTGGGACGATTTTTCTTTCTCACCCTCGGCAAATTCTCAGAATTTGAATTTATTGTATCCATCAACTAAAAGTTCCTAATGAGGTTGTTTTTTTCCAGGTCTAAATATTTCTATCACCATTTTATAATAAGATCTGTTTACCTGTCTGTACACCTAAGTTTTAAATTTTAGCTTATATAATTTCTCAGAGGGACTGCCTCTCACATTAATCATACAGATGATGCATCTAGTATAAAGGATGAGTTCTCTACATTACCTCTTTCACCTTCTACTTTATCACTTTTGGAAACCCTGCCAGTACACTGTCTGCTGGGACCAGCTCTCTTAAGAGTGTTCTTGTACTTCTTTCTTGATAATAATAAACATTTCTGATGCTATTGGCACACATAACTATGCAGAGATGAAAACCGGAAAAGCTAATTTACTTAATCAAATCTTGCAAACCTAAACTGATTTGGTTAAAGAGTGTTTTGACAACTGACGTAGGATAGTCATTTTATCTGAACTAATATGTTCCCATTGTAGACAAGAGCAATGTTATAATGCAGTACTATAGCAGTGCGTGGTCTAGGCCACGTTAATGTCATTATTCCTGTTTATTAAGGGCATTTGCTTTTATCTTAGTATTAGAATCATCATCTGTACCTGATTAGTACAGAACCCTGCTGAGAATATTTTCCTCCTCAAAATACCTTGTAGGCTTTGTCTTCTAGATAGAATATTAATGTGTCAAAATAATCCCACTCCATATCACAATGTAAATATATTTTAAATAGATTTGCAGTTTAAGAGTCAAAATAATGTGTTTAAATAAAATACTTTATTAAAATAGTGGGGTTTGGTTTTATATGAGAAATGAGAGCAATTTGTTAACTTAAATAATTATCACCTTGTCATTCTATCACCACATTTGGGTTTAGGCTATCTTTGCTACACGTGACTTTAATAATATCATGTGGTTTAGGAATCAAGGTACTGTACTTTGTGTCTGCTACTAGCATATCATTTCTAGTTCTACGACAGGTGCATTGAATAAAGGCTGCATGGTGCAAAGAGGTAAAGGTCAAGTGCTTTTGAAACTTTCTGAATTATTAATGTGAAAAAATGATCACAAGTGTAATATTGCAGGTGGTCTCAGATGTGCATAATTGTTTCCACTTCAGATAGAAGTCTGATTGGTATCTTTGGAAAGAAGCATGTTTACTGTCTGCAATCTCTTTTTAAGAATTTAGTTTGGCCTGCCTTTCTGGAAAGTTAACAGAAGCTTGCTTTTTTTTTTAATTTTTTTTTTTTTTTTTTATTTCAGCCTGCTTGAATTTCACCCCATCTGCTTATCAATTTACCAAAATGAACATTGTCAAAAATATAGTAGACATCCTGTTGCTTGCAAGAGATTGTCTTCTGAAATGTGTGCTATGGCTTAAATATTTTATTCAGTAAGAATCTTGTTCTCAGTTGAAAAGGATTTTCACTGGAACTCTTAGTAGAAAATCCTAACCATAGACCTAAAGCTCACAGTACTACCTTTGAATGTTGTTACACTGAGTGTACCTCATAACCTATAAATGCCAGCATTGTACTTCTAGTGTTCATCAGTTAATGAAATTGTTCTTCTGGAAGCATATATTTCTGTTGGCTTGGTTAGTTCTAAGCAAATGTGATTCTTTATTCCCATTCTTACTAATTTATTTACATAAACTTAAGAAGCTCAATTGCAGTGTGTGTCAAGGGTTAGAATACTCTTATTAAGGCATAAAAGAGATTTATTTATGGGTGGATGTAGGTCTGATGGTCAGGAACACTGTTCCCTCATCTCATTTCTAATCTTTTGACCTCTGCTGTGTAAGAAAGATAAAAAGATGGGGTTTCACTTTTGTGGAGGTCTCTGAGGTCTACAGAAGCAAAGGAAAATGCCATTAAAAAAAAAACCAAAACAACAACCAAACAAAACCACAACATCTTAAAAATGTGTTTGCTCTGTTTTTTTTTTTTTTCATTCTGTTATGCTGCTGTGTGAATACTGTTATATGTTCTATAAGCTATAGTATGTGATCTTTAAACTAATTGAATAAAAGCATGAAAAACTAGAACCTTTCCAACTGTGGTTATTAAAATCACAATTACAAGATAGAAGCATAACTTTATGATCTAATTTGCAGTGGAAAATAATTGTCTTCAAGGTGGGGAGTCTGTCTGCAGTTAGTGAAACAGAAGTATAAACATACCTTGGTTAATTGGCTAGTAAGTCATATATGCTAAAGGCTTCCTGGCATGTAGCAGGCTGTGTAATTTTAGACTATACAGTATATAAAAATACACTGCTGAATGTAACGAAGTGTTTCTGGTCTATTAAAATACTGGCAAGCAGCATAAGGGAACAGCGCGTGCATAGATAAGAGAGTCACTCTGTGGGTGATTAGATAAGGTAACCAAGGGTCAGTCCTGCTTCTCTCATAGAAGACACTCATTTTGGTTGGTTTGCTTAGATCGCATTTTATAAAGAAAGGAGTTTTGAGCCAGGCTGCACACATGTAGTTGTTTTATGATGGCTTCTGTGAATAGTTGTTAAGAAATTAGAATAGGGGGCAAGGAAGGTAGGTAGGTTTTATAGTAGGCAAGAAGTTACAAGAATTGTATTAGGGTATGACAGCTTACTTCAAAATTATGGTGAGAGTCATTAGGACACATAATTCTGCTTTTAGAAAAAGGTAATGAGGAAACCTGGCCTATAGCATTTTTGGTTTGTTTTTTTGTTTTTTTTTTTGGTGGGTTGTTTTTGGTTTTTTTTTTTTTTTTTGGCCCTTCTTTTTTCTCTTGAGGCTAGAGACAAAAATACTGAATTACTGAATTCTCAGAATTTAACTGAGACTGCTATCCAGGGCCCTGGAACCAATCCACAGACTCCCTGGGTAGAGCATAAGGAGATTTAAGCATCACTGAGTACAGTGTGCTTTGTCAGAAGCTGCTCCATGCCAGCCTAGGGGGAATGCCGAGGAAAACCGTATATTGTAAATCCTTCCTTTACCAGGGATTAAATGTTTTATAATGGCTGTTCTGAGATATAGCAAATACCGTTATTACATATTTCTTCTTGCCAATCTTACTGCTCCTTTCTTAACTTCAGAAAGGTTAATAACTTCATTTTAGAACAGAGGTATTACATTTATGCTGAAAAAATAGAGGTACTACAGTACTCTGTCTATGAAGCTCTGTTTTATTTTTTTTATTGGTGGGGGTTTTTGTGGTTTGTTTTGGTGTTTGTTTTTTTAAAGAAGTTTTACAGCAGTGTTTGTATTCTGGTACTGAGTTCTGAGATACCTAGCTGATGTTATCACAACTACATTAATTAAAATAATTTTAAACCTGATGGAGAGACTTAGGCTCTAATTTAAGAAATGGTCACGCACTTTACGTGAGGACAGTCTCACATAAAATGTAGGAACAGTTACCCAGATAGGAACCTGGTCTCTTTGCTCTCAGGGAAAGACAGCAGGCTACTGGGATTCAGTTCACTTGTGCAGTTCCTAATGTTCCCCTTGTGAACTTTGGAGCAACTTTAAATCCCATGACCACCAGTGTGCTGGCAGGCATCAGCGGCCCAGGCAGGCGGGGGTACAGGCTGGGTGTGCTCAGAGGCTGCACGGGCACAGAACAGGTACGTTCTGGGGCCCAGACAAAGCCTTTCTGCTACTGTTGAGCCAAGCATCTCCTGACCTATATGTCACAGAACAGAAAGAAGTCACTGCAGCACTGCGTGTGTATCCTATTTGGGAAGATCGTGAGAAACTGATATTTGTTACTGCAGAGTGCGCTTACTGACTAAACAGGTGCACTTTACCTAATATTGAGAAGTTTCTGCATATGCTGAGTATCAGAATTGTGAGTTTCCAGGATCCTACTATTTAAAAAGTTATGCACTTTGTGAGTTTAGAGCTCTTGGGCACTAATTACTCAGCTGGGGATTCTGGGTTTGCAGTTTTAGATTTAGTCTCCAAACCTAGGTTTACAACCTATTTTAGGAAGCTATTATTTGTGTAAAAGTGGCTCTTCTGCTTCTTCATGAAACCCTTTATCTCAAAGACCAATTTGATAGTTAATTCTTTTCAAACCAGTGATGTTTTCTTCATAAAGAATTGAATCACTCCAAAAAAAGGAAGTGGCATTTTCTGTTTGCTAGAGGTTATTCTCTTCTTGGTACAAGTAGACTAACATGATGTTTTGTTTTGTTTTATTTTGTTTTGTTTTGTTTTTAAATGAAGACTATAATATAGTTTCAGTGCTGTTGTTATATTCCTCTAGTGTTCACCCAATTTTTAAACTGTATAACCCTTATACTTGACATTATTAAGAAAAATTTCTGCATTTTATGTTTTCTTCAGTCATTTTTAAGACTCATGGTCCAATTTGTAACTGCTGGGATCTTCCATACCTCTCCTGATTGGTTGTCTCGTGAAACTAAAAACTAAAATTTTCTTGCAGATCACTTATAGTTTGGGTTTTGATTTCTCCGAGGGGGTAAAAGGGAGAGAGGAACTGAATATAAATAGTGTCTTCTAAAAATATTGTGGGCACATCACTTTTGGACAAAACAAACCTGTAATACATTTTGAGCTTTCTCAGTGTAAAACACACTCAACCCAGTGAAAACGGACCCACTCGGATTCACTTTGCTGTCACAGTGAATGCCATTGAAATCAGCAGACCTGCTTTTCATGGGAGTATGCATGTATAAGTATTTGTCAGATGAGGGTCTTAATTGACATTATAGGTGTTTTAGAATGTATTTATTTTGTCTGATTTGATTGTTACATGTAAGGCATCCTCCTCCACAGGGGTTACATTACAAAGCATGACAAAAACAGGGTAGAAGATGCTTTTCTGTTGAATCAGATATGACCTAAGTATTTGTTGATAACCTCAGATGTCTTTAAAACTTCTAACTGAATAATTTGTTTTGTAGGGTGAAATGGGTGCGAAAGGACAGGACGGTGTTGCTGGTCTTCCTGGTGAAAAGGTATATTCGTGTATGTTGATATGTAATTTGACTCACAGAAAGTGATCGTTATTGTTAGTGGCTTATCTGTAATTATGTACAGAAAAGGGAGACTATAACGATTCTGTTAGAAAATAAATTTCTCTTACCTGCACTGCCATGTTTCTGTAGCACACTGAAAAAGCCACTCAGACCAATAGCATTTGCTGCAGATGTTCTTGTTTGTTTGTTTGTTTTTCTGGAAGAGGGGGCTGTACACAACCAAAGGAAGCCACTTGTTCCACTCTGCAGGTTGTGGTCTGCAAGCCTAGAAAAGAGCTCTTTTACTTTCAACAGGCCACTTGGTAGAGCTTTGAGATAAATGCCACTGACCTCTAAGCAAAGACTTGGGACTAGCCCTGTCTAAGAAACCATGTCAGCCTACCTGTGTATTCAAGATGGTAATTTTCACTTAATTTCATGATGTTACGGTACAAATTAAGGAAGTTGTACATGGTTATTGAGTTCAGAGGCAGTTACCTGTATTACAGGAAGATTACTATTCTAATATTCAGCATCTTCAGTATAGAAGACAGCCTTCATAACACCGAGGAAACAGCATGTTACTGGAGTTTCTACTCATTTGGCCTTTTGTGATTTCTTTTTTCTGTCCCATAGTAACAGTTGAAATAACAGTGGATCTTCTGCATATACATGAAAGCTGCTTATAATATAAATGAATTAAACTCTCCAGATACATGTGTTAGTGCACTTCACTGATTTTTTTTTTTTTCAGTGGTATCTTTAGCATCATGATTTAAGTCCTCAACCCTCAATTCTGTCAATTTAGGTTCTTTTTCATCATGTACTTCAAGTTTCTTTTCTTTCAGTGCTATAAACAAGTGTGCCATTTAAAGGCAGCTGTTGCTGTGAGAGGCTCAGAATTTCAATATTGCTCTTTATTGGTTTATATGCTGCTTTCATATGTATGCAACATTTTAGTAATGGCAGAGGGTTTGGTTTATTTTGTAATTATCCAGATTTATAAGTACTGAAAGAAGTAGAGCTCTTTTCACTTCAACTGTCAGACTTAAAATCTGTTATTAACGGCATATAGAATTATGAAACTATCTTTTATTCTTATGTACTATTTCTGTCTCAAATTGTCTTTTAGTAAAAAATGAGAGGTAAATAAATAATATTACCAAAGAGATGAGTTAAAATAATGGTATTTGCCGCTGATGCTATGTTATATATGATGGAAAAATGGAGAGCAGGGTGCAGAGATGTTCAAAGGACTTTGCAATATTGAGGGACTGAAACATAAAGTGGTATGTAAAACTTAGAGAAAGTAATAGTAAAGTGATGCAGAAGAAGAGGAAAAAGAAAACATATTTCATGTCGAATTCTGGATTAGCTATTACTGTTCAAGAAAGTGATCTTGGAATTAGAGATCAGTGAAAACTCACTGTTAAGTACTAGTCAAATAAATAAATAGAGTTTAGGAGTGATTAGGAAGAGAGTAGGGAACAAAGCAAAAGCATCTTAATTTCACTATTAATGAAATCGTATTGTGCTGCATATTGAATGATGTATACAGTTCTCCACATCTCAAAGTGGATCTAATATTACTGGAAAAGGTTCAGAGGAGGTGTCAAGAGTGATCAAGACCATTGGGTAACTTCCAATTAAGGTGTCACAATGTGGACTTCAATTTGAGGAAGGCAAAACTGAGATTAAATATGTCATATTCTGTACTCTATACAATCATGAATGGAACAGAGAAGATTAATAGGGATTGATTTATTTATTTTACACTTCTTCTCAGTGTACAAACTAGAGCATCAAACCTGTCTGATTAGCATGTTCAAAAAGGATAGAAAGGGCTCATTTTTCCTATTACATGATTACAGTTTGAACACTCTGCCACAGGATTTAAACAGTCTGAAAATTTATTAGAAATTTGGTGGAATAAAAAAATCCATTAAATGTATCAGACAGACACTACTGCTTGTCTGAAAGTTCTTGAGCTTCAAGACGCTGAAGTCAGGGAAACCCACTGGAAAAGTCTTTATGGTTGCCCTGTTGTACTTTTCTGTAGGCATCTGTTGTCGCCACAAGTGTAGTCATATACATGACTAGAGAAACCTTTCCTTTGATCCAGCTAGACAGTTTTTACTTTACTGTGCTCCCAAGTGTAAATTAATGGAAGGAGTTATTGTAAAACATTGTAGATTGAATGAGATTGATATAGAATGAAGCTGTGTTTTCCCTTGGCGCTTTCTGTAGCTCCTTCCCTGATGTTATCTTTTTTTTTTATAATTACCAGGCTATGTTGCTTTTCCAGTACAAGTTGTTATTACAGTTTCCATGGTTAATACTGTTTGGATTTTTTTTGCTTAGCGCCTTGCAAATTCACTGTCAGGCCAAATCCCAAAGCTCCTGCTAGTTTATGTAAGGCTCAACAGTCAGATCATATTTAATATCAAGACACTGTACTTTTCCTGAACATTATAACTCCTTTAATTGAGACTACATAAAAGCCATACCATTGTTGCAAGTTAGAAATTAACTACTGTGGAATTTGAAACTGGCAAAACCAAAAGCTGTTTAAAAGAAGACAATAAAAAGGCAAACAAAATATTTTGTACATTCATAGCTAGATGGAGAAACTGAGGTCCAGTCACCCAGCTTCTGCTAGCCAGAGTTGTCATGTCTGTGCAGAGTAGTACAGTGATAGGTGGAATTATTAGCTCCTTTCTGAAGGTAGAATCACTTTAATTTCCTCATGTTGTGAATGGTGTTAACATGCTCTGTCTCTCAGTTCATGCATCAAGAGCTATGTAAATTTGTGCGCGTCTGTTGTTTTTGTGCTCCTTTTTCTGGGATGTTCTGGATGCTAAAGAGCTACAAAGGTTCAAAGACAACTGAATGAAGTAAAGGAATAAAAATACTCTAAGCACTGTTACATAGAAAGGCGTCTCCTACATTTCAGGAAGTTGAGGTACAGACTGTTCAGTGCTGGGAGAGCATTCTCAGAAGCAACCCTTCAGTATGTATTATCTTTTGTTGGAGCTGTTATATTTGTTTAACTAGTATGGCTGTTTTTATGTTTTTCTGCACTGTATTTTTCTGAGTTTTGTGCAGATGTGCTCCCTGAGTCACTGGTTAGAAACAGGAAAAAGAAAAAAAGAAACTATACAATTATTTCTTATGTAAATACAGTTTGAGGCTTCAGAGAGCAGAGGGGATCTTTCTGATACACCCCAGAATTATCCACTGCAATACTCCATTGTTCATTCTTCTTTCCCTGGAGAAAGGTTCAGAGAATAAATAAATGGCAGAACTTACTCATGTTTCTATGAGTAAGCAACAATGTCAATTAATTTGACCTATTTTGGAAGTTTGCCTTACAATGAGATAAACTTGGCTATTAGAAGGCTTGTTTCTGTAGAATTGATTAGCTTAAATGTACCTGATATTGTAGTGAAAAACTAAAGTTAGAATAATCCTATCCAATATACTTTCTAACTTGCGAGAATCTTACCAAGAGAATCCCCCAGGAAAATGCTCCATGGCTGTATATTTAATTTTCAAGATCTGTGTAAGTGATGAGAAGTCTGTAAGGCTTCATATATGGCCTTGACTTTCAGGGATCTAAAGTGTGAAAATAGACTGTGTACCTCATATACCTTCAGATGCGACACTTGGCCTTCTGTTGTTTGTAAGACATACTATCACTAACAGCATAATTTCCCATTCACTAAGTTCTGCAGTGGTATTTGCAACAGTTGTACTAATAGGTACAGATCTAAGTAGTGTAGACTTCTAGGACGCTCTTGTTATTTGAGAGGTTTGATCTGCTGTGGGATAATACAAAGAGAAAAGATTAAGTCTTGTTGAGTCTAGGGTGACATAAGAATAGCCTTAACACTCAAAAGAGAACAGGTGAGTGTTCAGGCCGTAGTTCTGTAGTTTTTGTAAGCTGCAAAAGGAAAAAATGAGGTTTCCACTGACTGGCAATACATCACAGCATTCCTGTCATCTCATCTGTCTTCAGGGCAAAACCAGTCAGTGTGACAGTGCTGATGTCCAATCTAGAGAGTCAAGAATCAAATCCAGTCCCTGTGGAACCCTACCTCAGGTCACAACACAGTAGATTGTGACACCATCATATATATGACTCTCTATTTGATGTCTACGTAGTTCCTTCATCCCTATCCCTTTTCAGGGAACCATCTTAAGAGATACTTTTTAAATAGTAGATCCTACTTTGGGCAACGGAAGAAATTACTGAGATTGTTGGAGGAGAGAGTTCTCTGGTTTTCCTTTATTGTTCTAAAAAAATAAGAGGATAGTAGTCCTCCCTTGGAAGGAAAATTACGTCATTTACAGACTACCAGAAGATATGGAATACATTGCCATGATCCCCTTCCTGCAATCAGGACTGATTTGTAGCTCAGCCTCCTGGGGACAATTCTTCAAGGTATCTGTTAAATCATGATACAAGAAGAATTGGAATGTTGTGCTAAATGAAAACCACTATGCATGTGAGACCTTATGCCTTGGCCTTCTGGAGGTGTTCAGCAAATTCTGTGAGGACAGAAGAAACACATGTCAAGGGAAGAACTGTGTTATATTACTTTTTGGTGATTAGCAACAGAAATTGCCCCTGGATACACTTCTGAAGCCATTTAAGATAATTGGATTTCAGCCAGAGTGCTGGCTGTGTGGCCTGAGAAATTAAATCTGTTATTGATGCAGGTCTTAGAGGTGACTGGAGTGCTCTAAGGTACAGGATGACAGTCGCCTCTCTGCTGCAGAACAGGCTCCACAAGTTAAGCAACCCTAATCTAGCAGTTAGGCTAACCTCATTATGACAAGAACTGATAGGTCTGCCGTTAAAAACAGTCTTCACACACCATTGCTATGTGCAGAGTCACTCCACTGGTGTAGTCTGAGCAAGGTTGATACACTGCTGGAAAGTATTCCTATTAAAGTTTTATTATCTTTCTAGTGTTGATGTTGTACTGAAATGGTGA